AAACTCATAATTCTGAGATTAAAGTTAGAATTCTGACTTTTCTCTGACTTATTTTTTATATTTTCAATGGACCTAATCCTCTTCCGTAGAATCAGTTTATTAATCCCTTTGCGGGAAATAGTTTTCTGGCAGGGCAACTGTGCACACAAGATAGAAAAGAAAAAAAAACAGATTATAGAGCAAAATAAAATAAAATATAAGACATAATGACATATTTAGAATTAAAACCTGCTCATATAAACAATGTTGAATAAGATATAGGAATAAAATAAGATAAGGATATAAAAAAAGGATCTAAGTATTTACAGTTTAAATGAAACTTTATTTATAAAGCATTTGCGAACAAAAACAGTAAAAAAAAACAACAAGAAACAAAACATGACAGTTTTTAAGTATTAATGATCAAACTAAAGATGTAAAACATAAAGTCTAAAACCGGCCGTTTATAAAGTAGGACATCAAACGGGCCGCTGGTCATAATGTTTTGCAGGTTTTTAAGTTTCGTTTTCAGTGAAGCGAACAAAAACGAAAGAGAAGCAGCTGATGCTGAAACACAACAGCTGATCAGGAGAAACACCGGAGCTGCTGTTCGGATCCTCCAACCGAACTTCGGGTCCAGTAGTTCGGTCCGATGTCTCACTGGGATTCGTTTTATCGGTCCTTCTCATCACTGTCCCTTTTTCTGGATCACAGGCAGCTCGGTGAGTAAAGAAAACTGATCATACTTTAAAATGTTACAGACAAGCAGGGAACCAGGAGAAAAACTTTGCATTTTTTAATCAACATTTGATCATTTTTGTCTCTAAACCTACTTTAATCTGTATTTTGATGAAAATAAAATGAAATATCTTCTGCTTATTAATTAGTCCGGTTGTGAAAAAGAATGTTTTGTTATTTAAATGGTTTTAATGCTCAGTGACTTGGATGCATTGAATTTCGGACTTTGACTAGTCCATCTAAAAAAACAACATTTTTATTAAATCTTTTAAGTTGACATCTAAGGACTCATCCTTCCTTCTTCTCTTCTCCACTTTCCTCTAGTTTTTGTCTCCTATTCTACCTCCCTCCCTTCCTTCTTAGAGATCTATCCTTCCGTTCTTTACTTTAATTAAAAGGTTCATTTGTAACCTCCTGCATTAATCAGCTATACAATATATTATCATATAAAGGAGAGTCTAGATCAGCTGGCTGATGTCCTCACAGACATGTTTAACACCTCTAGTGCCAGCATGCTTTAAAGTCGTAGGAAAGTCATATTTAAATGTCAAATCATTCTGGCTTAAACAGTATATAAATGCACTCTTTATCAGATGATATTATCCCAAATGTAGAAAATTTCTACATTTTCTACTCCTAACATCTGTGTTTTTTTTCTTGTTATCTTCTGCAGGCCAGTTAGTTCTACGTCAGCCTGAACACCTGAATTTGGCCAATCATATATCAACGGTCATCTGTCAATCAAATTTTTTCATTCATAGCATCTTGATTCATGTGTCGCAGCTAATATACGCAACGGTTGAAATCAGAATCCTTTCCTTTCCCATTGAGTTGCGTCCCAGTGTTCACGGGGATGGACGTCTGTGTCTTCGGCAGGCGTAGAGCT